ACTCAGCCCTCTTTTCAAGAAGGACTGTGGTTGCTTGATCCGGCTCCATAGCTTTTATTAATCTTTGAGTAACAAGTATACTTCTCGTTTTTTGTTTCCAAATAGCAAAATCAATTTTTCCATCAAACGGTTGGATATTTAAAAAGGTTTGCCCAGCCATGATCAACAGTTTTCGAAAGAAAGAGAAAATTTCCGAAAACACAATTTGTTTGGCAAAAACTGTTTGTTTTAAAAAAAGCAGTTTATTGTGAAAACAGTTTATAAAAAATACAGATTATTTTTAAAACAAATTGAGAACCAAACAAACACCCAAATCACAGCACATCAATGGCAATTCACAGAAAACAAACACAAGAATCAAACACAGCAACAAATATATCACAGAATATTGCAATCACAGGCAAATCATAAATAAAAAGCCTATCTATTACAACATTCACTCGTGACTATTCCATCTAAGGTACTCGAGAATCACTCACAAGAGTGAGGATCGGAATTTTGCAACCTTGGTATCACAATAGCCTTTACAATCGATTGGGCGGAATTTAAATGCGGATATTAAACTAAAGTAAAATAACAGTAATAAAATAGTTATGGTTAAAGAGTTTACCCTCGGAGCACAGCAACAATATATTCCCTACAGCAGTACAAGGGTATATACAAATGACCTATTCTTTTTTAAGAATAGAGGTTAGCCAACTAATAACAACAAAACCATAAACAAAACAATGTTTCTCCTCTAAACAAAGTTAGAGTCACCGAAACTCACAAAAAACAGACACTAGGCCACATAAACAATTTTTTAACAGAAACAGTTTTAACAAGATCTTTCAAAAGTAATTTTTGGTTTTAAAGATTCTTGAAAAACTTTTGGATTTTAACCCAACAAGCATATATCTACACGAAAATAAGGCGGAACAACAAGTTTTACGGTTTATTTTCTCAAAATAACAACAGACAAAATCAGTTTTCACCAAATCGAAACGATTTTGAACCGTTCTAACCGAAATGGACTCGAACTTAACCGATCTACAGAAAACAGTAGCGATTAAGTCCAAACCCAACATTAACAGTTCGACCGCGGCTATATTAGCACAAATCGAAAAACTCAATGGCCGATTTTGACAAAGATCTAAACATGAAAAAAATCAGGCACTTCAAAAATAGGCCGATTCAACCGGATCCTTTTAGATCTTAAAGATTTAACCAGATCTTTACAAAAAATCAAAAGTAATGATAATTTTGTAAAGAAAATCTTCACCAAAAGCTCTGATACCACTTGTTATGTCAAATGCGGAATAGATCGAGAATTTTATTAACGAAAATCAAGTGAAAACACAAATATTATACTATTTTTTGTTAGGCTCAGCCCCTAACCACTCAAAACAATAAATCGACACACAAAATGCACCCACTAGCGACTACACACTTTAAACCGGCCCGAAACACACAACTCAAGCACAAATACAACCCCCACTATCACATACAAGGCGAAACAACAAAAAATACAGACGCCTACAAGTCGAACGAGCCCTTTGCGGCTACGAACAACAACCAGGGGGTGAAACACCACGCCAAAGAACCTCCACAAGTTACAGGAGGGAGGCGCCACCGAGAACCGCCGTGAAATCTCCCGAAACAGTCACCGGGAGGGCAAACAGAAGGGTCGAGAGGTAGAGAGAGGGGAGAGCTAGAGAGGAAAAGTTATATAGAGAGAGAAACGTGAGTGAGTGGAATATAAGAGAAACCCCTCTCTCTCAGTATATATATTCATCTCAATTAAGCAACGGACGGACCAGATCAAGATCCACAATCAGACGGCCAAGATCAAGACTAGAGAAAAAGACGCGGATCCAAGACGGAACGGGTCATGGGTCGCGGGTTCAGGTTCGGGTTCGGGTTGCGGGTCCAGGCAGCTCTGGTGGCGGGTGCGGGTTGTGGGTCAGGGCCAGGTCTAAAATGGGCTGCATAGTGGGTGTGTGTATCTTATATTAGGGTAGATTTAATTGGATCAAAAAATCTAACACAATTCACTCGTTAATGTATATATATATATATATATATATCTAAAGAACTATCATTATCTAGGTATCTCAATTCGTGTGCAATCGACATGAGTGTATCTCTATAGCATGAAACACGTGGTTTGTGCTATAAATTTTTATTGTTATAGCAAAGCATTGACGAATTGCAATAGTTTAATTATATTAGGGAGTTAGGGTTTCTAAGAATATAAGCTTTCAAGCAAGCAATGTTGCATGCACGCGACACAGATGTTCAGATTAATTCATTAAGGAGACCCCAGAATCTTCGATCGATATCCTTGGAAATCAGGAGACGAGAGCTATTTGCAAATATTATAAATAAATTACAGGAAATGGACATAAAGTCCTGACTTTTTAGTGTTGATGTCGGTCACCATAAAGGATATTCAGAAATTATTATTATTATTATTATTATTATTATTATTATTATTATTATTATTATAAAGATACCAAATAAATATTAATTATCTCTACCGTTAACTAATATTTTGGATATATATAAATATAATACTCCATTCGTTCTTTTGAAAGGGTCCATTGGGATTTTGTAGTATATTGAAAAATAATAGTATTTTATCGAAGTGTGTAAGATATTTTGACATTTCTGTCATTTGACTTTTTTGTATAAAGTAATTGTATGTGTAATGGTATATTTATAATTTAGATAAAAATTAATAATATTTTAGTAGTAGTGTACGATTACTTTTACTAAAAATAAAAATAGGTACTTTTGAGTAGGACGAACATAGTAAAAATGGTATTTTGAATTAGGACTGAGATAATATATGCATATATGTGTATAAATGTATGTTGTGCGTATGTTTATTGATATATATTTCCTCTGTCCGGATATATGGTATATATTTACTTTTGGCACAAAATTTAAAAAATAATAGTATTTTAATTATAGTGGAGAGTTAAAAATAGTGTAAAGATAATTTTGTCATTCTTTTTTGTGTAAAAGCAATTATGTGATAGTAAAATAGAAATTTTTGTGGAAAAAAAATTGAAATATTTAATTAAATAATTATTTTGTAATTAAATAATCCAAAATAAAAGTATGTATACTTTTTTAACGGACGAAAAAAAGTATATATATAATGAATAAGATATATTTGTACTAGTCTAATTAATGGCGACAGAGAAGGAAAGAGATAGAGAAAGAGTTAGAAGAGGAGAGAGATTGATAAGATTGGAATTGAATGTCACCAATCTATTTATTTTTCCATTTTGGTCCGTTTCATAATAAAATATTTTGTTTTGTTAGTAATTGTATTTTACTAAACATCAAAAATACCCTTATAACTTATAATATATTACACAAATATTATTACATTTATATCACACATACTAATAAGATTATCTTAGTATTTTCTATTTTATTCATACTATTTTTCAATATAATACTAATATTTTTAAAATTCTGTATAAAAAAGCAAACGAATAGATAAGGGACGGAAAGAGTATATTTGAGTGAGTGCTATCACAATTATTTATAGTACAAATTAAATACAAGTATATTATATGGATGAAAATAGCCAACAAGGCATTTATACAATGAGAAGTAAGTGTAGATGAGTATTCTACATTTACAACAATATCATATATTTAGTATTTATTAATTATTAATATATAGTTATATATATATATACATGTAAATTTCTTTCATTCAAAAGTAAGTTATTCAGTTGTATTTGATTTTTGCACATGGATAATATTATTTTATAGATATATAGTGTAATAAAGTAATGTAATATTTATTTTACCATTAACATTAAAATAAAACTAATATAAAAAATAAAAAATAAAATATTTTGGAATTTGATGAAAGTTACTTTAAAAAGTAAAAAAAAAAAATGAAAAGTTTTTATTTGCGTATACTATAATGGTAAAATAGAAAATTTACTCTTGTACGGATGAAGTATTACTCTTTTAGTTTCACTTCAATGGATGTTTTTGAATTTTTATTATAAATTAAAAAATAATAATATTTTATTGATTAGTAGAAGTACATAAGTAAAAAAGATTTTGATATTTTTGTCCATCGTATTTTATGTATAAATTAATTGTACGTCTAACTGTAATTTATGTAAAAATAAAAATTAAAATATATTTTGTATTAATATATAATTATTTTCACTGTAATAAAAAAATCTGATATTTTTTAGAAAACATACAATATTATTAAATAGGAGACTTTTATTTGGCAGGATGGAGTAATATTTATTACTCTGGTATACTGATTATTTTATCATTTTAATCTCTTAATTGAAAGTTGCTGCAAACTAATCTTACAAGTAAAAAATTTTCACAATTTTAATTCTCCGATGCCAAAGATAGCTATGTGTGTGATGGTGCGGGGAGGGTTCTCCGCTTGCTCCCCAGTCACAAAGAGGTTCTCCGCTTGCTTCACCTCTCGACAACAAAGATAGTTTGTCAATCAAAGATCAAATATAAGTTTTGTTTGCTTGTGAGATTCTATTCTTGATTTTATTATTTTAATTTTTTTTTCTTTCAAAATATATAGTCAAATACATATTATTTATTTATTTTATTAAACTAAAATCTAATTTGACATTGAAAATATCACGTCAATATATATTTATATCACATCAATCAACTATTTCAATTCAAAATTTTTACTATTCAAAACTAAAACGAAAAACTATAATCTTACAAATAAACACACCATATTTTTATTAACAATTAAAAAAATAATAGGAAAATAAACAACTAAATATGTATAGTTTCATAAAATTTGCATAAATATTAAAAGGCCCCCGTAAATAGAATGTCATTTAATTAAAACCCTAAATGGATGAGCGTTTGAATTTTCTGCTATTCCGTGCAAGGACCTGTAGAAGACGCATTGGTCCCATTCCCATAGCCATATTTTATTGAACTGTATAAAGAGACTAATTAGGTTTCTGTATGTGTTCAAAACCCTAAAACAAGAACAGGTAATTTCAATAATGGAGAACTTTGTGATGCATATGAACAGTGGGGATGATGCACATAGCTACGCTAGAAATTCTGGTTTTCAAGTAAATCTCTCTCTCTCTCATTGAAATCTCTTAAAACAATTCAGTACAAACTCAAAACATAATTTAATCGATTAATTTCTCACATGATAATGTCTTTTCTGCAGAGATTTGTGATATCAAAAACATGGCCCGTGCTAGATAAAACCCTTAAAGAAATGTTCGATAAAACCGAGTTCAAAAGTGGCTTCAGGATGATCGATCTAGGCTGTGCATCAGGACCAAACACTTTAATTGTTATCTCCCATATAATAGATACCATCAAAAGTCTTTGCAAATGTGACCAATTGCCTGAAATTGAGGTTTACTTGAATGATCTTCCTGCCAATGATTTCAACAATTTGTTCAAGATGTTGCCTAGTTTTCGTCGAGGCTGGAAAAATTGCTTCGTATTCGGCCTTCCGGGATCCTTTTGCGAAAGATTGTTGCCAAGAAATAGTCTTCACTTTGCCTACTCAAACTATTGTCTTCAATGGTTATCACAGGTACATATATATGTATATATAAATATATGTATGTATGTATTTGTGTGTGGTTGTGAGTCTTGTGATAGTTCTTCGTCATCATCATCAGATTCCTGAAGGGGTTGAGAAGATTAATAAGGAAAATTTCTTTGCTACAAAGACGAGTCCTGTAGAGGTATTCAAATCTTACGAACGGCAATTCCAAAGAGATTTCTCGAGTTTCTTAATGAATAGGGGAGAAGAGATGATGATTGGAGGGCATATGGTGTTGTCATTCATCGGCAGAAGTTCTATCGACTTCTCTTCAGAAGATGCTTGTGCAAGCTTTAGGCTTCTTGCAGAGGCACTTGTCGACATGGTTGCCGAGGTTGTTGTAACAGCCTGCCTTATATTTAACTTAGACTTTGAAGCTAATGTATAATACCTTACAGGGCCTCATCAATGAAGAAGATCTGCATTTGTTCAATATCCCAATGTACCTTCCATGTCTAGAGGAAGTCGAGGCAATTATCAAGCATGAAGGGTCTTTCAATGTCAAAATCTTGGATTCTTTCGAGGTTCCATGGGACCCTAACCTCTATGAGGATGATGATTATGAAAAGGTATTCGACAAGTATAGAAGCGGAATAATAATTGCGAGTTATATTCGTGCAATCATGGAGCCATTGCTTTCTAATCACTTTGGGAATGCAACTATTGACATGAATAACCTATTCGAAAAGCACGCACAAAAATTGGGAGATTATATCGACGAGGAGATGCCGTCATACCTTACCTTGCTTATTTCTTTAATTAGAATGTAAGATCTCTCTCTCTTTCACGGTATATAGTTTAGGATATTGGATGTGCTTTTTCTTGTGTGTTTACAAATGCCGGGTATATTTAATTTGATCGTTTTGGATTATGTTTTGGTGAAAAAACCCCACTCTTGTAATGTATAAATTAACTAGGGGCTAATAAACCAAAAATGTGTGAGTGTACAATAATTGCAACTATGTGTGCAAGTCCGACGGTTACGATGTTGATTAAATATAATCAATATTGTGTTGATAGCGCAATCACTACAAAAAAAAATAATTTATTTGTAACGGAATTCCATCCCTAAAGTTCACGTAGCTAACGTAATTTTATTCCTAATTCCGTCTCTAATGTCATTAATAACGGAAAAAGTAGATTTAGAAAAAAAAAATTTGTTACAAAAATAATTTTGTTACAATAATAATTTTGTCTTGTAGTGAATATATTAAATATAAATCTACACTGCATATATAATATGGAATTAACAATATATAATAATACTATATTTAATATTTTATATACAAACAATATAAGAATACATCACAACTACATAAAGCCTCAGCCACACATTTTTCCAACGAATCGAGTCTCTCATACATCTAGGGTGTGTTTGTTTGGGGATTTGGATTTTGAGTTGGGATTTGAATAGTAAAAAATTTGAATTTGAATAGTTGTATGATGTGATATAAGTAGGTGTTGATGTGATGTTTTGAATGTAAAATTGGATTTTAGTATAATAAAAAAAATGAAAAATAGGTGTTTGATTTGATATTTTTGGAGGGAAAAATTTGGATGAACAGTGTAAATCCAATCAAATCTCCCAAACAAACACACCCCTAATCAATTAATGATATTATCCTCAAAAGTCACAACAGTACAAAAGTTGTAGACCACCTATTTAATTCATAGTTGACAAATTAACTAAGTGATGGCTTTATTTGTACTAGATATATATATATATATATAACTTTGCTTAATGTGCTAATTGAGCTCAATTATCAAGATATATTTATAAATAAAGTAGCACATATGCCGAAAAAAATATGTTAATACAATATATCACTACCACAAAACTACTAATTTATCTCAGAAAATTGTCTAAAAAAAAACGTCGACAATTTTGTGCCACGGAACCTTATTTTAAGAGAAATTAGTATCTCGATCATGATTTGAGATATCACTGCGATAATTTATCGCGACGGATTGACGCCTGGAGGTATATTTTGAAAGCATATTGTATAATTCTATGTAACATAATATATATATTGTGATTTTAGTACAATAAGCGGATTATACAGTATACTACAATTTATAAGTCCCGCAACATATTCTTCTATATAACACATGATATGCTATTTATCTTATGGTGAAATTGTTAATTGGTTTAAGTTAGTGTGCTAAGTTGGTCAAATCGGCACTGTACTTATCGACTTAACCAAATCAATACCCTAACTGCGGTCATATATATACATATATATGTTGCGATAGGAATTTGCAAGTCATATGTAATCCCTTGCATATTTAAAGGATATTACGGGTCGAGGTTTATAAATTTTGCGAGGTAATTAATGGCTCGCAACCCTTTCAACCTTGCTATGGTAAGCCGAAGCAAAAAAAAAAAAAAAATCTTGTCCTTTGTTAAACTAGAATTAAAATCACTCGCAAGCTTTCCCTACACAAAAGTCACTAATATCTCCTGTGAGTTCATAATCGAATGATTTTATCCCTCGAAGAATACTGCACTTCAAAATTCATTAATGTCGACAAAGTGTACAAATGCAAACACAATTATGTATGTATAAAGCACTTTATACATGTGTGTGGGGCTGATGAAGCCGACGATCCCATTCTGGATTCTAGATACATTTAATGAAGACCAGCTCATCCAAAACGTCTTGAATGCATACAAATTTATCATCTTCAATCCTTCACTTAAAAAGAATACAGCAACTGTAGTAAAAATTTAATTGATTTATAATAATTTAATTTTCAATCCTTCACTTAAAAAATTACAGTAACTTTAGTCGTAATTGATTTATACTCCCTCCGTCCCACATAATTTGTCCCTATTTTCTATTTTCGTCCGTCCACATAACTTGTTCTTTCTATTTTTGGAAATATAATTATGCACTTTAATCGCATTTTAAATTTTAAATTTTATAATTTTCTTAATTTTAATTAAACTATTTACTTATCTTAATCTTAATCTATAATTATTTTTACTAAATAATAATTATTTTTACTAATACACTTCTTAATTACTTAATAATTATACTTTACCTAAATTCCAGTGTCTACGATAATACACCCATATTACATGGGACGAGGGAGTAATAATTTTAATTCAATCAAAAAGTTCAATTTTTCACTCTGAAAATATATCATTCCTACATATTCTATGTTTATATTTATAAATTACACTCAATTTTAGTATTTTTTACTTTATAACCTAAAAATATATAATTCAAAAATATATATGTGAAAAAAATTACAAACAATTATTTTAAAAACATCAAAATTACATCACTTTTTAAAAAAAAAAAAATTACATATCACACCCAAAACATAACAAAATTTTAGAGTATCCAACTCGAAAAAATGGAATTGAACTACCGTGTAACTCTAAAAATAAAGCAATCTGAGTAAAAATTGGAATTAGATTGTAGCCCAACCTTGCATATTCAAGCCAACTAAATGCATTTGTGCAGTGGATCGGATCTGGTCTTAGTAAATTTGAACAAAAGCTGAAAAAAATGAATTGTTATTGTTATTACTATTTTTTATATGTTGGCAGCTTGTCAATTGTCAAGTTTGATTTTTTTTCAAAGCCAACCCGAGTCTTCCGCAATCAAATTAAATGGTCCATTCTCATTTTGATGTTGACATATAGCTACTTTATTTATGGTATAATTATCTACATATATATGTTCCGCGATGAAGCAACACACATTGGACAAAAAATTTTGGGATTTGTTTATGGCCCATTGGTCGAGCTTATCACATATCCAATCTGTTTCATCAACAATTATCATTTCCAGACAAAATCATACGGATCAAGGAAGTCGACTTATAATTGCAGAATTTGCAGAGATGCTAGAGGATTAGAGTATTATGGTAAAATATTCAAGAAATTATGGAGGTAGAATTTCATGCGGTACCCATTAAAAGATGCATGTTCTTTAGTTGTAATTTGTTCGATCCAACTAGTGGTGTTGGAACAAAGAAGCACGAAAGTTACAATTTGATTGAGATAAAACAAGCCAAAAAAATTACACAGTTATGAACCTTTTATACTTGGAATGCAAGCTACACAAGTTAGTTATATTTTATTCCCAAGTTTGAGAAATGACAAAGATGATTAGTTGGTTGTTTGTTGGGTGAAATCTTGAGGTTGGATTGAATTGGTCGATGGAAAAGTGTCACTCAACGAAAAACTGAGACGTTACTAGGATCCAATTGTTGGGACATGTAGGATTGAATCCGTAAGAAGCGAGGAAGACATAAATTTGGCATCAATGGGTGGCAGAGTTGGTATACCCTTGCAAATGTCTGAATACTCTAATATGGAGGAAAAAATCTTTCTTGAGACCTCTAGTTTTGATGATAATTAATTTTACTCATTGAGTTCGGATGATGATGTACCTTACGATTAAGTTATTATTTTTTATAGAATTAAATTTTATTTATATTTCTCGTAATGTACTTTCAATTGCATATGTCGCAGGATCTGACCAAGTAAAACAAAATCAGAACATCTGCAATTTAGAAAGGTCACAAATATTGTTGTGACAGACGGAAATGCAAGAAAAGCGACATGAGCCGAATTCTAAAACCCAATTTTGGGAAGGGTCATCTAAGGAAGGAATAACAATTCCAATATCTTTTTAAGTTTTGCAAATATAAATAAAATTTACAATTATTTATTACGCAAGTACGTCCGTAGAAGTTGTGTCAATTGGGAGTACACAAACTACGACATCAAGTAAGTAACTTTTAAGAGAATCCTACCGTTAAAGTTTTACTTAGATTATATGAAATTCATATTTCAACTAATGTTGGAGATTCTTAATTAGATACCACTTTAGAGATAACCCACGTACGGAACTGAGAGTCAAGATAGATGAGAGGTACATTTCCGTCAAGTATCCTTATGTAAGCATTCAGATTGGTATTATAATATTAGTCTAAACTGCATAATACTTGCAACATCTTCGGCCACATGACGCATCAAAGCATTTCTTAATTGTTTTCAAATTGAAACACATGGATAAGGGAAACAAGTGGCTCTCTGTACCGAAAGAGATGGCAAAGACACACCGGTGGTATCCAACTGAGATGAAATTACGTCAATTAATTTTGTAAATTTTTAACATACTAATTTGGATTAAAATTTTTCAACATTTTTGTATTGTGTATTCTAATCAATGCAAAAGGACATTAGGTGGGACTTGGCTCACGAGGAACGGGTCCTAAAGGAGATTAATATTAGGGGACAAGAAGTCTAAAACAAATGAATGATCAATCTTTGGCGTGCACGGGATACAACCTCCACCAGGGAACGGGTCATTTCCCCCATCCCCCTAGGTGCTCGAGCTCCAACAATGCAAAGAAAAGGTCAGAGACTACCAAAAGTAAAATGTGCTGGGGCAATTTGACAGATAAGCATACCGAGGTATCATGCTTTTTATGGAGACAACAAAGAAGTTGGCTAGTATTAATTTCTACTTGTATAAATTAATAAGTGTCTATTCTTTTAGTTTGATGTTCGATATTAATAATTTTGAGAAATGAATAACGTACAAGTGGGGTCAATAAGCACAAGAAAAAAATAAAAATCATGGATCAACACGAAGACTACTTAGATAGCATATGAAAACTATATATTATTAAGCACAATTTAAAAATATTAAATACAGTTCATGAATATATTTGTATTTTCAAGATGGGGTGAAGCATATACAAGAAAGGGATATCCTAACTCGGGAACCACCGGGACGAGGCATTTTTGGGCTTAGACTGTCGTGATAAGAAAAATATATCTTTGTGTTCAGGTTGTTGGCGTGTACGGTGCCTACTGAACATCGTTCTATACCGATGGTCGAACACCTACAACTGATCCTACAGATAGGGAACGCATGATGAACATGGAGCATGAGTAGTGGTTTTTTTAGGAAACAAAATATGACCATCATGGAACAGCTGGCGAGGATTCAGGTTTAGTTAGACCGTCGTGAGCTGGATGGTGGTGCCGGTGCTCCTCCCCCGATTGCATGATGTATGTTTGAAATATATTTTGTTTACTTTTGACATTTCTTGAATTTATGGAATTGTTGGTCTATTTTATGTTATCGTATGGTACTGAGGACGGGTTTTATATTGTATTACACAATGTTTAATGTTTTGATTGTTGTTGGAAAGAATTTATATATCGTTAATTTGTAATTGTTTGGGACAGGTTTGAGAATTTGAAATGAAGCTATATTTTAAATTTGTAATTGTTTAGGACAGATGTAGAACTTCAAAATGAATAATTGTTAGGCAATTTGTATCAACAGAAAACACATTTTTTTGAGTGAATTCGTTTCCTCGGAAAAGTGGAATTATATATTAAATTGAATTTTGTGAAGGACTATTCCCTCACAAAAATGTCCGACATAATAGTCCCCCGGAAAAATTCCTCGTTGTTTTTGTAAAAATTTTTTTCCTTGGATCCAAATAGCGAGCACGTGTATAGTGATAGATTTTATTCATTCGCAATTCACTGCGCTAACTCAATTAGGAGGAGAAATAATTTGATTTTTAAGAGAATTTTTTTATTGCAAACCAACCACTTATTTTTATTTTTTTTTTTAGTGATACATATCATTCGGAGTGTTCAAGCTAGCTAGCTATCTTGGCTTTCTTTCTTTACATGACATCGATCAATATATATATCATTCCTACCGGGAGAGATTACAGTGTTGACTTACTCAAAACAACACGATAATGGTTTTGATTTATCCTAGTTAGTACATAAGAAATGAAATAGGCAGATAACGAATTATTTCAATTAAAACATTACATAATTAAAATATGTTGTATGAGCTCGTATGTATTAGTGGTAATATGTTGTATATGGACAATTGGCATATTTACTTTATTTGTATTACGTTGATATAAATCGTGTATTATCTGTTATTGTATGGTGTATTTGACTTGTGGTGTGCCGGTAATGAGATAAATCTTATACAACATTGATATGTGGTGTATGTGAGCAAAGACAACAGTTTTTAGAATCAATATCAGGTGTTTTAGGACTTCAATGTAGGGTTCAAAACCTTACTATTTAGGATGGATAGTGACAAAAAAAAGTGTTTCAAATTAAATTGTTAGCCAAATGGATATGCTACATCTTTAATCATGTGAGCTATAAAATCAGATATGCTACATGTTTACTCCAATCAGATATGCTACATGTTTAATCATGTGAGCTATAAAACAAATTTGTCTAGTCAGTCTGTTGGCTTTTAAACTTTTTTATGTAGTATAATACTATATCCTTCTCATAAAATCATTATACTGATAATATTTATCTTTCAATCTATGAATCAATATATAGGTGCAACACAGTTCCATTTTTAATCCAAATTGAATAGATGTGAAATTCTCAAATATAACGATATGGCTGCAATAAGACTATTAGCTAAACAATTATATGGATTAAATAGCTAAATAAATAATTATAAATTTCTGAATAATTACTAATCTAATGTATTAATATCTAAATTCATATTTAAAATCATAATTGAATTTTACTTACAGTAAAAAAAACACGATATTAAAATCAGCATTGAAATCAAGATGCTAAATTTTTCTTCTTCTTTATTTTCCCTTTATTTCTTTCTTACTTGACATTTGGTTTCCTTGTTTCATTACATTTATATATATTTATATAAAACAATTACACATAAATAATAGTACATGATAATATAATACTCCCTCCGTCCCAAAAGAAGTGTCTTATTAAGAGTTGACACGGGAATTAAGGAATAATAGTATTTAATTGAAAGTATGTATAAAGTAGAACGTAAATGACTAAAATGCCCTTACTTTTTTGAAGGATTTTAAAGAGTATGTTAGAGTAATAATTAAAGGTAATATAGAAAAGTTTGAATAATTTTGTTATAAAGTGGAGACCATGGCTACTAAATAAGGAAACAAGACAATTAAACAAGACAATTGTTTTGAGACGGACGAAAATGGAAAAACAAGACAAATCTTTTGGGACGGAGGAAGTATAAGTTCTATATATAAACATATGATAATACAATATAAAAGACAATATATCATTGATTTTCAGTACATTAAACATACTTATACATCATAGTACAATATAAAAATTGCACACTATATGTTTATATTTTCAAATTGTCTAGTGGGCCGGACCGGCCTGAGCCTAAACCATACTAGCTTGTTCCAACATTGCCCCGGCTTGGATCGGACGGGCCCATTCCAACTCGGCCTAGGATTGGGACAAATTAAAAAATTTGCAGTCCTAGGCCTAATCCCGGTGTTAAATGTATTGATAATATATACAAAATAAATATAGTAATAAAAATGTATAAACAACTATAAATGCATTAACAACAAATTAAAAAATGCAGTCCTAGGTCGACTTTATTATTATTATGGTATAATAATCATTCCCATGTAAAAAATGATATTATTAAAGGGAAGGGATCAAATGATGAAAATATAATTTCAGCACATAGTTCAATAACTAAAAAATAATTATGTTAATTTATATCATTAAATTATTTAATTAATATAATTATACATAATTAGACTTTAGGCATTCAGCATGGTGCTGCCTATCCATGTTGATTATCAAATATGGTGTTTTATTAAATATACATTTCTTTTTTGTTCTTCCATCTATTTGTTCCTCTGGAGTGCAGACCTCCAACAATTTCAAGAATGGAAAAGTTTGTGATGCATATGAATGGTGGGGATGATGCACTTAGTTACGCCAACAATTCCGGTTTTCAAGTAAATCTCTCTCTCTCTCTCTCTCTATATATATATATATATATAAATATATAACAAGAATCCCGACGCCTCCCAATCCACTGCCACACATGATTCGTCTAATATGAGTTGTCTTGTCCGACCTAATTTGTAGGGTATTATGTTTGGCCGGGGTTTACCCAGAGCGCACTCGTTGAGAAGCGATTGCGAATTCCCACGTTATAAAATAAAATAAAATAATTGAATTTTCTTAAAACAATATGGCTTTTCTGCAGAGATTCGTGATATCAAAAACATGGCCTGTGCTAGATAAAACCCTTAAAGAAATGTTCGATAAAACCGGGTTCAAACGTGGCTTCAAGATGATCGATCTAGGCTGTGCATCAGGTCCAAACACTTTACTTGTTATCTCCCATATAATAGATACTATTAAAACTCTTTGCACGTGTGACGAATTGCCCGAAATCGAGGTTTACTTGAATGATCTTCCTGCCAATGATTTCAACAATTTGTTCAAGATGTTGCCTAGTTTCCATCAAGCATGGAAAAATTGCTTCATCTTCGGTCTTCCAGGATCCTTTTACGAAAGATTACTGCCAAGCAGCAGTCTTCACTTTGCCTACTCAAACTATTGTCTTCAATGGTTATCACAGGTTATACACATACATATTTGTGTGTATATATATATATGTATATATGTATTTTCTAGCTCATTGGGGCGTAGAAGATGTATATATATATATGTGGGCAAAATTATCCATAATTTTTCTGTGGTTTTGCAATTGTATCAATTTTTTTTATACTTAAAAATTGAAAAGACGCTCTTTATACTTTAAAAAATATTGCATGAAACCGTGCCATGTAAAATTATAGATAGGAAATATTTTCTCATCATATAAAAATGTAAAAATAGATTTTATGTAATATTTTTTAAAATAGAAGAGAACGTCGTGCAATTTTTACAGTATAAGAGAGATTTACGTTGAGTTCCGAAACCACATGGGAATTATGGGCAATTTTATCTATATATGTGTGGTTGTGATGGGATTTTATCATCAGATTCCCGAAGGGGTTGAGAAGAGTAATAAGGAAAATTTCATTCCTATAAAGACGAGTCCTGTAGAGGTATTCAAAGCATATGAACAACAATTCCGAAGAGATTTCTCGACTTTCTTATCGAAGAGGGGAGAGGAGATGATTATTGGAGGGCATATGGTGTTAGCATTCATTGGTAGAAATTCTATCGACTTCTCTTCTGATGATTCATGTGGAAGCTTGAGGCTTCTTGCAGAGGCACTTGTCGACATGGTCGCCGAGGTTGATTAGGGTTTCTAACAACATGCATTATCTTTAACGTAGACTCCTAAGCTGATATATATATATATTACCTTACAGGGCCTCATCAATGAAGAAGATCTGCATTCATTCAATATCCCAATGTGCTTTCCATGTCGACAGGAAGTCGAGGCAATCATCGAGCAAGAAGGGTCCTTCAATGTCAAGGAGTTTGAGTCATTCAAGGTTCCATGGGACACCAACAACTATGAGGATGATGATTATGGTAAGACATTCGACAACTATAGAAGCGGAGAAATAATAGCAAGTCATGTTCGTGCCGGGTTCGAGCCATTGATTTCTAATCACTTTAGCAATGCAAAGATCGATATGAATATCCTATTTGAAAGGCACGCACAAAAAGTGAGAGACTATATTGTTGAGGAGATGCCATCATACCTTACCTTGCTTATTTCTTTGAATAGAATTTGATTTCTATATGAATGAATTGTACCGGGAGAGATTACACTGTTGACTTACCCCAAACAACAAGATGTTGGTTATGATTTATCCTAATCAAAAATAAGAAATGAAATACACAGATAACGAATTATTTCAATTAAAATATTATATACTATCTGATCTAACGGTCTCATAGAATATTAATTATTATATGAAAACATAGTACAAATCAAAGAAAAATGACAAAAATACTTTTATCAGTGTCTTATAATATTATTATAATGACATTTGTGCAAAATATTATACAAATATAAGGATATTTTTAATGTTCCGAGTCAATATTTATCCACTAGATTTATATCTCTTAGATATCATTATCTGTATCTCTTTAGATATCTATATCCGTAGGTTGATAAGATATAGCAAATCCAAGTGATAAGATATGGCATATCCATATCTTGCTAAGATTTAGCATATCCATGATAGAGTACCTATATAAAGGGGAGGAGTCCTCACTTGTACTTCACTCCAGTTTTGAATCAATAAAACACTCTTCTTTGCCGAGTACATCTTATAGTGTTCTTATTTTTAGCAAGTATTGGAATCGTGTAAGAGGCTGCACTAGCGAGTTCTCGAGGGAGTCGAAGAATCGCTAGGCCGATGGGAAGGTGTTCGAGGAGGAACCATCCGACCCATTACAAGTGGTAAAATGACAAAAAAAAAAAACGAGACCCTTAGAGCCGGACGGAAAGAATAACTAAAATGTGTTGTATGAGATCGTGAGTTGACACATTAATGGTGATATGTTGTATATGGACAATTGTCATATATTCTCAATCTATTTATTGTATATATTACGCTTAATATAAATCATGTATCATCTATTATTGCATGGTGTAATTTATATGTGCTGTGCTGGAAATGAGATAAATCTTATACAACATCAATATGTGGTGTATGTGAGCAAAGACAACAGTTTTTAGAATCAATAACAGATGGATTAGGACTGCAATGTAGGATTCAAAACCTCACAATTTAGGATGGGTAATGACAAAAAAGTGTTTCAAAATTGTTGGCCAAATGTATCTATTTATCTATATATATATATATATATATTTTCAGTATCTAAGAGGAATAAATATTTGATTTATTTGTCTCAATTTTTATTTCTCCCCAAATTAGAACGAATGATCTCTATAATCTTAGTATCACAAGATTCAAAATGAAATAAAATAACATAGCATGAGAATGAAATGGTTAATACTACAATACAATGTGGCATAAAATTATTATAAACTAAATGAATATACATATATATAAATTATGAACTAACATGAAGCATCTTCTTGCATACATCTACCGGAGCCGTAGAAAACAATGGACTTGTATGACGTGTAAGTAGCGTGAGAATTTTTTATTTTATAATAATATATATTATGATAAATTATCACCAACTCACATGTATTGGATAATTTTAGTGTAATTTGATTGAGATAAAGTATATCTGCTCATGAACAAACATGAATTTACTGCACAAATTAATTTGTGCACTGAAAAAGAAAATTATTAAATCTAATAAATTATCATCCTCAGAGTTAATAATAAATATGCAAACACAAATATTTAATACAAATAAAATATGATAGGAAATAAAACAAAATATACCCTCTCGTCATCCACAAAATAAAAACCATGATATATAAATAGTAAAACAATACAATATAGCAGTCAACTCCGAATGACTATGCAAACACATAATATATATTTGTCTAAATGAGCAGCTAGAATAACCTAGGCCCTATAACAATGGACCTACTAGACAATCATTAACAAATAGCTAGCCGGCAAACCCTCGAATAAAAAATAGATAACTTGATAAACTTATAGGAATATAACAGTCATTTGGTCACTTTCATATACCCGTCATACGACTCTAAATAATACATGGGTAGCCGATATTATCACCATTAACCACAAGATATATCATAATATTATAGCACGTCAGGGTTGTATATCATATCCTTAGATAACGTTATCACTTATCACTCGGCACATAGAAACAAAATAATATACCTATAAAAAAAATATATGATAAAACCTTTCATTATGTGTCTAGCATGTAAAATATATGAGTTAACCGAAAAAGGCCAATTAGATAACTCGCGTATTCTCATTTTTAGAAATCCACTAATACAATCAAGTATAGATCAAATAGCGAAAAATACGAAGACTGACAAATGCATGCGCTCATACACATGTATATATAAATGCACCGACTAAAATATCCAATATATAGTATCACAATAATTTTCTATAATTATAAACATATGAATATGCGTATCTAATTTTTTAAAATTATATTTAATTCTTTTCCATTTACTTTTCATTGAAAATTTATTCATTTTGTTTAGAATTCAACACTTAAGCACGCTCAACTATATTTATCCCACTATGCAAAAATATATAGTTGCTTTGTATTTTGTCTAATTAATTCTAGATAACTCATCAAATTTTCTTAATTACAATAATTTATCATTTACTCCAATAAGATGTACTATATGTTTATTAATGTGAGCTATATGTTTATTCATAAACTAATTTTTCTAATTACTCGTTTGATTTTCAAACTTTTTCATATAATATAACTTATATCCTACTTATAAAATCAATATACCTGATAATATTTATATCAACCAATAAATAAATAAAAATCATTCGATTTATGAACCAACATATAGGTGCAACACAATTCCATTTTTTAATCCAAATTGAATTGATATGAAATTCTCAAATATAATTATAGAGCTACGAAAAACTGTTAGTTAAACACTTGCAGGGATTAAATAGCTTAATAAATAATTTTAAATTTCTGAAGAATTACTAATCTAATGTATTTATGTCTAAATGTATATTTAAAATCATAATTAAATTTTACTTATAGTAAAAACTAAAAAACACAGTATTAAAGTCATAATTGAAATCATGATGCTAAATTTTTTTTCTTCTTTCTTTTTTCTTTTCCCGATTCTTTCTTTCTTTCTCAGTGAACATTTAGTTCTATTTTATGGTTTGGTTTCCTTGTTTAATTACATTTATATATATTTATATAAAATAATCACACATAAATTATAATACATGATAATATAATATACATTATATATTTAAATATATAATAATACAATATACAAAGACAATATATTATTAATTTTCAGCACACTAAATATATATATATATATACCATAGTACAATATAAAAATTGCACACCACATGTTTATATTTTTCAAATTGTCTAGTGGACCGGTCCGGCCTGGGCCAGGCTGGACCAACCTGGCCCCGGGTTGGACTGGACCGGCCCATTCCAACTCGCCCTAGGATCCAGACCAATTAAAAGAAATGCAATCTTACATCTAGGGTGCGTTTGGCAATTAGCTAATAACTTTTAACTGTTAGCTGATTCAATTAGTTGGTTTAACTAGCTAATTCAATTAGTGGTTTGTATTAAAGTGTTTGGTAAAATAATTGTTTGACATTAGCTCTTTATATATAAAATGACTATTAAGGACATTGATATGTTATTTTTTAAAATATTTAATTTTGTTCATTTTGGTTTGAAATTTATGAGAATTTTTGTTATTAATTATTGAAAATTATAAAAATATTATAAAATATTTATTTTTATTTTTATTATTTAGATCCGAGAAAATTATTTTTACTAAAAAATAATAATTTTTTATTGAAATTATGTAAAATATAAAATAATAAATCTTTCGTATATATATTTTTATTATGTTAATTATTATTTTAATATATATAAATAAATTAATAACCTTTGTTTTTTTTTATTTGATTTAGTTTTAATTATATATTTTACAAATAAAATAATTTATATCTAATAATTAATAATAGTAATTATTTTAAATTTACAAAAAAAAAATAAAAATATAATTTAATAAATTAAATATATTAAAAATAATTAATAAATACTGCTATAAAAATATATTTATATGTAAAAAATAAATAATTAAGTTTTAAGGGTAAACAAGGAATAACCAAAATTAAAATGAAAAAGCTCTTTCAAAACGCTGGATAGATGAGTTTTTTCAGAAATTAGCTTTTTGGGTCCAAAAAGCTCTTTCAAAAAGCTTATTTACCAAACACCTAAATTAGCATTTTGACCGGTCAAACAGCTCAAAACTGTTCAATAAGCTAAAAGCTCTTCAAAAGGTTGTTTCCAAACACCCCCTAATCTTAGTTCATTAAGTCGGTCATTTTGGACCTAATATATTTGAACGAAACTAGACTCGTCTCAATTCGAACCATACCAGCTTAACACAAAAAAAGAAAACTATAAATGCATAAATTGGTATTACATGTATTAATATAATATATAAACTAAATACACTAATAATTGTGTTTTTGTTTTAATTTTTTTGTTTTAATTTTAATAATTGTGTTTATTTAAAAATAGTTGTATAATAAATGTAATAATATTTATGTAAATAAGTGTAAAAGTAAGTGTACGTGTAATATGGGGTGGGGTCTCTATACTTACTAAAAAAAGAAAATATAAACTTTGTATTTAGACAACCCAAAATAAAAAAGGTAAATTTTGTAAGCGAACTAAGGGAGTATTTTAAATAGAGGTAGATCCGGTGCTGATGGGTTCTATCAGCACCAAAATATGGACGTCCATCACAATAGATAAATTTGAATAGTTTACATTGAAAAATGATAGAATTGTCATTTTAAGTTTAAAAAAAACTTAAAGGGTGGGTTTGTATGTATGCAAATCTCTTTTTCTCTCTAATCCTTCTTTGTCTTTTCCCTTCCCCTTTCTCTCTCCCGATCGACCTAATGGCGCCGACAATCGCCACTGCCCAGCAGCGGCAGCGCCTCCGCAGCCCTAGCAATCGCCGCCATCTTCTTCTTCCTTCTCCTCATCATCTTCTTCTTCTTTTTCTTATGTATCTATTTCTTCCTCACTCTCTTCTTTTTCCTCCAAACAGTTGACCAACAGTTGCCCAGATCTCTGCCCGAAAACTGCCGTTCTTCCGCCAACCCAAGACCCGCCGCGAACCGCCACCTTCGCCCAATTGACCCACCGCGAACCCAAGTTTATTTCGGCATTTTCTAATATGGTATTTTGATGCTTTTTTTCTGTTTGGATATTAGTTTAAATCAGTATTGTATATAAAAACATGTTTAGATATTTTTTTGTGGCAATTTATGGATAATACTCATAATGTTTAATAGTACAGGAACATGCTAAATACAATACGGAATATGTAAATACTAAACATGCTAAACATGTTTAGAGTGTTTTTTTTCTATTTTTGTTATTAGGTTTTGGAAAGTATGCTTAGAATTTTTTATTTTTTTTGGCATTTTCTGGATAACATTCATAATATTTGATAATACAGTAACATGCTAAATATTTATTGTTATTCAGTAAAATGCTTAGTTTAGTATATGTAAATGTTTATTATACTATGCTCATAATATTTTGCAATTAAATAATGTGCACAAAGACTGATATTCTGTTGGCATTGTTTCCCTTAGTGCTAGAGTCATAACCAAATCTTAATTCGTAAAAAATAATTTTGGTGCACAACCACCCTTGCATTTCAAAAAGATATTGAAAACCCACTTCAATGAATCTTGTGTTTCTTCATACAACAACGTTGCCACAAATATAGATATTTGGCGCTGATTATTAAATCTTACGAAAACACCTAATGTTGCAGTATTGTTACAATCCATTATATGAAAACAACTAACGAGATGCTTATAAGATGTTGTGTACATTGTATCAAGATGTTAATTTATAGAAGATGAAATGTTGAATAATGGAAGATGAAATGCTGACTACCAAAATATTGTATTTAATTCGAATCGTTTTTTAATAATAAATAATTAATTTTGCTCGTCTCTATCAATTTCATCCATTAATTTTGTTGGAAGAGTGTTAGGCATCCCATGAATTAAAAAATGTAATCTAATAATTAATATTAAACCAGGATTATGCTGAACTTTATAATTCATCGTCTAATCCCAGCTTATTTTAAATAGTAGTCAATATCCATGTGCACCAATATTTTTAACATGTGTATAGTGTGAGCTGTCTTATCCTTCTACTCCACCTATGCACATCAAATAGATCATTACTATATCTAGTTTTAGAAGATAACTTTATTGTTATAGTATAATAATCATTCCGTGTCAAATGATATTATTGTAATATACGGTATTTTATTAAATATACATTTCTTCTTTTTTCTTCCAAATGATATTATTGCAATAACTCTAATATATGGTGTTTTATTAAATATGCATTTCTTCTTTGTTGTTCAAATGATATTAACTCTATTTGTTCCTCTGGAGTGCAGATCTCTTAACAGATCCAATAATGGAAGACTTTGTGGTGCATATGAATGGTGGGGATGATGCACTTAGCTACGCCAACAATTCTAGTTTTCAAGTAAATCTCTCTCTCTCTCTCTCTCTCTAACAAGAAAGAAATTTGAAATTCCTTAAAACAAATATGGGTTTTCTGCAGAGAGTGGTGATATCAAAAACATGGCCTGTGCTAGATAAAACCCTTAAAGACATGTTCGATAAAACCGGGTTCAAAAGTGGCTTCAAGATGATCGATCTAGGCTGTGCATCAGGTCCAAACACTTTAGTTGTTATCTCCCATATAATGGATACAATTAAAACTCTTTGCAAATGTGACCAATTGCCTGAATTCGAGGTTTACTTGAATGATCTTCCTGCCAATGATTTCAACAATTTGTTCAAGATGTTGCCTAGTTTTCATCAAGGCTGGAAAAATTGCTTCGTATTCGGTCTTCCGGGATCCTTTTACGAAAGATTACTCCCAAGCAACAGTCTTCACTTTGCCTACTCAAACTATTGTCTTCAATGGTTATCACAGGTTAATTATACACATACATATTTGTGTATATATATATATATATGTACGTATTTTCTAGCTAATTTGGGGCGTAGAAGATGTATATATGTGTGGGCAAAATTATTCATAATTGCCATGTAGTTTCGCAATTCAGCATAACTCTTTATTTCACTTAAAAATTACAAGACGCCTCCTTATATTTTAAAAAATGTTGCATGAAATCCGATCATGTAAAATTATAGATAGGCTCATTATATAAAAAATGTAAAAAGGAGTTTCAAGCAATATTTTTTAAAGCATAAAAGACACCATAAAATTTTTTAAGTACAATAGAGATTTACGCTGATTTTCGAAATCATATGGAGTTATGAACTGTTTTGCCCATATGTGTGTGGTTGTGATGGGCTTTTATCGTCAGATTCCTGAAGGGGTTGAGAAGAGTAATAAGGAAAATTTCATTCCTATAAAGACGAGTCCTGTAGAGGTATTTGAAGCATATGAACAACAATTCCGAAGAGATTTCTCAACTTTCTTATCGAAGAGGGGGGAGGAGATGATTATTGGAGGGTATACGGTGTTGGCATTCGTCGGTAGAAATTCTGTCGACTTCTCTTCTGATGATTCCTATGAAAGCTTGAGGCTGCTTGCAGAGGCACTTGTCGACATGGTCGCCGAGGTTGATTAGGATTTATAAGTTTATAACAGCATGCATTATCTTTAACGTAGACTCCTAAGCTGATATATATATATTACCTTACAGGGCCTCATCAATGAAGAAGATCTGCATTCATTCAATATCCCAATATACTTTCCATGTCGAGAGGAAGTCGAGGCAATCATCGAGCAAGAAGGGTCCTTCAATATCAAGGAGTTGGAGGCATTCAAGGTTCCATGGGACACCAACACCTATGAGGATGATGATTATGGTAAGACAGTCGACAACTATAGAAGCAGAGAAATAATAGCAAGTCATGTCCGCGCCGCCTTCGAGCCATTGCTTTCTAATCACTTTAGCAATGCAAAGATCGATATGAATATCCTATTTGAAAGGTACGCACAAAAATTGAGAGACTATATTGTTGAGGAGATGCCATCATACTTTACCTTGCTTATTTCTTTGAATAGAATTTGATTTCTCTATATCCATATATATAGAGAGAGAAAAAAAAAAAATTTAAAAATATATCCGCATTTATACTTCATTATCACTTTTGTCTTGTATTTATCTCGTTGACAAAATATATCATACATGCTTGCTAAATATTATACATGTTTGCAAAATTCGTTATTTCTATCATTTGGCCACACGTGCAAACATATATGATATATTTTGTCATCGTGATACGATAAAATTGACAATGGGGTATACGGTGAAATATTTTTTTATAATTTTTCCATATATATATATATATATATATATAGTGAACACGGGTGTGTCTTTTTGTGGTTTTTCATTGTTTTGGGTTAAAATTCACAGACAAATTCAAGTCATGTTAGCTGCACATTGTAACAAGAACAACTACAGCTATTGAACATACTTGCGGAAATTTGTATTACCAGCAATATAAGAAAATATTAATTGAGTAACATAATGTAGATCAAGTTTGTTTTGGGTGAAATATAAGGAGCTATTCAATTTCAGAAAAAACATTTTATATTCAAATTGGCCTCCCATATAGATTTTGGCAAAAAAGATTAGACTCTTTGCTACTTTGGCATTCAATATCGTCCACGTTGCAACAATAATTATAGCGACAACACAGACCGGGAGATTGCAAGCTGTTCTTTTTGGCATGTTGTGTAATCTGTTAATCAATGTATTTAATTTTTTTTCTGATTGGGTAAGCATGCATGATAGGACTTATATATTGCACTTCATCTAGAACAAGACCTATATAATCTATTTTGCATCGATTAGGTCAAACATGCCCTCCTACCAAAATTGTCTTTGGTGTGTTATAAAATAAGTTTGATGAGTATTTAAGTGTGAGATGAGTGCATGGAAGATTGAGAACTTCCAATCTCTTCAAAAACTCGTCGTCTTCATTGGTTTCTTTAAATCTATCCTCCATCAAGAACATATATTGAAAGTTGGAGAATTATCCATGACATATCCAATAACTTAGAAAAATTCTTGGTTAGAATAGAATGTCTATTGTGGTTGTTACTGCATTAGAATAACATATACAATAGATTGTTGTAATTAGAAAGACTATTAGAAACAATCGTCATAGAAAAAAAAAAGACTAGAGACAAGATTTAGATTTAGATAGATTTGATCTTATATTGTTTATGAGAAGCATTTTTAGAGTATATTCCTATATTGGAATTCACCAAATATATATAGGTTGATGATTAAATTAAACTGGGTAAATTACAAATCATATGTATGTTACAACCATGGCATAATTGCGCATAAAACTTGTCTTATAATCCCTTATGGTTAACATTCCGTGCGCACACAAGACTCGACATCATGAACTTATATATTCCATACCACTTGATATATTTTTGGTCATCATAAGTGGAGAAGGATGTTCTACAAGTCGTCCACTATTATTTGATGGATAGAACTACCAATATTTGAAAACAATAATGGAAGCCTTCATTATTTCACTTGAAATAGATGCTTGAACCCATGCAACAAAAATAAAACTTGGAGTAGAAGGTGAAGCACAAAAGATAATCTTCAAGCCAAAAGTTGAATGGACACCAAATGAGAAAGCTGGATCTTTTGGAAGTGCCAAAGCTACTAATGTTTTTTGTAGCAGTTGATGAAGTTCATTTCAAAATCATGTGTAATTGCAAGAAAATAAAATAAAATAAAATTTATCGGGAGGTATAGTTGAAGTTCAAAGCTACAAAGCTATAACAAGTGGAAATTATGTTCAATGGTTTGAAGATGGCTGAAGATGAAAGCATAACTTAATATTACAGTCGGTTTAAGGATATTGTGAATCAAGTCTACACTCTTGGTATTCACTACGATGAAAGGAAACTCGTGAGAAAAATACTAACAATTGTGTCAAAGATTTTTGGTCCAAAAGTTGCGAGTTCTCGAGGAGATGGATAAAATTCACATTATGATATTGGAGTCTCTCAATAGTATTTTACTGATGTATTAGATAAACAATCCTTAAAAGGATTCATCAAAAGGACTTGCTCTTTCTATAAAGGAACTTCAAGCTATTGAAAATGGCGAAGATATGTCTCTATTGGTGAAGAAACTATCAAGGATGCTTCAAGAAAAATGAGAGAAACAGCTGAAGCAAAACAAGTTTGGAAAGTAAAATAGAATAAAGTCGGAACTATTAGAGGACAACAAGACAATTCTGATCAAATTAAGTAGTCCAAGTGAAAAAAAAAAAAAAAAAAAAATGATGATGATGATGATGATATGATATTTTCTTCATGGTTCACAAATCTGACAAAGCTGAAGTTGTAGAAGAAAATGAAATCACTAATGATTTATTTCTACAAAAAAAAAACCAATGAAAGTGGACATTAATGAACTAGTTAAAGCTTACGAGGAACTTATGGTTGAACAAAAACCAAATCCCTTATCAAGAAGGACAAATTGATTGGGTTAGTCAACAAGTTGGAAATCAAAGACAATGTTTTGGATAAGAAAATATAAAAACTGAAGGATGATATCAAATTATTACATCTGAACTGGAGAAATTAGAGATTGGAAATATGAGGTTGCAAGATGAAATAGAAGACTTTGAAAAAGAAAATATAAACTCTATTAGAAGATTCTTTGGAGATCAATGAAGCATTGAGGGTATGCTTTTTTTTATGGGTTTGGAAAAAATTGATTCGAAATTGGTATTAAAATAATATATGATTGGATTTTTATTTTTTTTTAGAGAAAAAAAATGTATTTTTTTTTCCGACAAAATTCATATAGCAGAAATTTGAGATTTTGAGGCAAAAGAAACAAACTCTAAATATTTCTACTTTAAAAAAAAAGTGTATTTTTTTCCGAAAAAATTCAAATAGCAGAAATTTAAGATTTTGAGGCAAAAGAAACAAACCCTAAATATTTCTAAGTATCGACAAGCAAGAAGACTATATATGTCAAAGATGGTATGCTGTAACATCGGAAAATTATGTGTAAAGCTCATAAATTTGAAAATTTTATAAAGTCTCAAAGGTTGTTGCATCAACAAAAAAAATTACAAATAGTATAAATTGTCTGTAAACTTTTATTTTGAATGTTTAAGTGTGCTTATTATCTTATGATTTCGACTGCATCAAATGGCCTTTTGAAATTTGTTTGCAATTTTCCTTTAATTTTATTGAAAAATATATATTATTTTATAAAAAATACAATCTAGTAAGTTTTTTTACACCATTTGCAATTAATATTATTAAAAAATATACTCTATAATACATCCACATAATATATACTTATATTCATTTATATAAATAAAATATATTTTTTTTATTATTTTATGGATATCATTCTTCCAATCTACAAAAGAAACACACCCAATATTATTATAAATTATTTTTATCCTGTTCCCTAATTTAATCTATTAATTAATAAGGAATAATTGGCAAAGCATTCTCAATTTCTCAGCCTCTCCTTTCATGTTTAAAATCTGAGACCAGAATTTAAAAATGGCTGCAAATATAGTTAAAGGTCATTATTTTAAGGACAATATATAAATAATTGAGTGGATGGGGTTTAGTGATGAATAATTTGAATAAATAAATAAATAAATATATATATATATATATATATAGTGTGTGTAGGGACACAGCCAACTAATTGATGTAATAATTATATATATAATATATATATAAATATTGCCATAATTAAAAAAGACACAACCTTAAAATCAGCATAAAAGTTGGTAGAATCAATACCTAAAAATATGCCCTAATCAAAGTGGGAGTTGGGATAATCTCACCCAAGCTTGTACCAACAAATGCTATGAACAAATTAAAAAAATGTTTTTTTTTTTTCATATTAACTTTACTTTTTTTTTTTTTTTTCTGATAATATGGGAATCTGCAGCGACTGACCTTCGGCCGAACCTAATACCTTGCAAAGGAGGCTCGACAAGACAAATCACATTAGGCGAATCAGGTGTGGTAGGTGAATCTTAACGCGTCGGGGCTCGACAAGACAAGTCACACTAGGCGAATCATGTCTGGATACTCATGACCTCACGGTCATAAGTTTACTCCCCACACACCAGCTGGTCATCCCTTACAGGACAAATTAAATGTTGTTCATAAATTTTGTATACATAAGTGTGGGAAAAAATATTGAATTATTGAAATACCATGTATATCATATTAAACATATTAAAATTTTGGTATATTGATAATTTCCGCATAATATAATATTGAATTTTTTTTTTTGTATGATAGTGGTATATATTTTGACATTTTCAGAATGTATTGAAATACCTTCTGATTATGGATATTGTAGTGAATTTTTTTTTAATCAATACAATAACCATAGCCTATATTTATATTCAGCTTTTTCTCTTTTACTCTTATTGCAAAAAAAAAAAAAGATTTATTTGTCAAAAAATTATCAAAATTATATCATTTAAAAAGTCATGGTGCAACAAAAATTAGCAAGTAAATTGAAATAAAAATAATATTAATATTTTACAAAAGCATATTATATTTAACAATTATTTCAATAAAAAAAATTAGAATAATAAAAATCGAATCCCCGACCTAAGAATTGGAAAATCGAGGGCTTCGCAACGAGACTATACCCTAATTCTCATTTCAATCAAAAGTTAAAACACAAACACACAAAAAGTTAATAATTGTTAGATGATGTATAATGATCGTCGCACCTAAAAGTCATTTACATTATCTAAAATAGTATCAGAGCCTTAGGTTTCGAGTTCGAGTCTCACGTTTAGTGGACTCCGGTTTGTAGATAAATAAATAAATAATATCGTATCTTAACAGCTTAAATTTTTAAGTGAGACGGTTATTTAAATAATCTAACAATAATAAAAATAATAATAAGTAAATAAACATAAAAAACTTTAATTATATTTTTTTACTGTTTGTTTTTGAAAATAAATAAATCTCTAAAAATATTAAACTAAATATTTATTTTTTTATTTCATATTACTTAAACAAAAAACAATTTTTTTATTCAAAATATATCATTAATACTTTTTGGATTATATCAGACAAGTGTTTAAATTAAATCTTAAATTTTCAAAATTCAAATTCAAAACTCAAACCAACAAAACACGGTCTTATTGTTTAATATATTATTTATTTTTCTCAATTCAAAGTATTTTTTTATAATTTTTTTATGTCCAAAAGTATTTATTTTCAATTATAATAAAAATAATTGCATACTAATATAGAAATATATCATTATAAATATACATAAAGCACAACCAAAATGTCTAAAT